AAAACAAGTTCAGTCTATGGACTTGCTTTCATGCAATCTTAAGTTGTTCTGGTTAAGACTGAAACTTTTTATCTGATAAAAATAACTTTTTTTTCCTCCTTATGGAAGTCATATAGCTTTTTATTTATTTATTTATTTTACAAATACAATAGGAAGTATCACTGGAAAATTGATTTCTTTCCCAATTTAATAAAAAGAAAAATGGTTGCAGATTAATAGCAGGTTAAATTATTTTTTATAATAAAATGTCTTTTTTTAAATATTAATAATTCAGTGATTCTAAAAAAGATTTTTCCTAATTAACAATTTTAATTGCCAGTAATTAAAAATTTTAGTTTTCATAATGTGTCAGATAATCATTAATAAATAACATGTCCTATAAACATGGCAGAATGACTCATTGTTACATATTACTTTTACAATAGCATTGATGATAAGTAACATTAATGTCAAAGAATAATGATGAATTAACGGAGAAAGTTTTTTGCATCAATATGTACGTACAATTTTGTCCAAATAATCTGGAAAGTAATATGATCATTATAAAATATTTTGGTTTGGTTGTTTATGCATATCTATAATGCGTTTTCTGTTTCATTATTGTTAGTAAATCACTATTTTTTAATGCTTGATATGGTAACTTCTAAACTGCATACTGGTAATTATCCTATTTTCAACAGTTACCCCAAGATGTGGAGTATGTAGTTGGGTGGGTTATATAAAGGTTTTATTTTTATTTTTGCAATTTACTGTGAGATACGTGCCATCATGGGTTATCCACCTGAAATTATGGTCAACTAGACATTTACAATATACATTATTTAAGCAGAAATATGTACAGTAGAGTGTTGATTATCTGAATCAATTGGGGACTGGAGTTGTTCGGAAAATCAATTTTTTGGATAACCAATTATGTACGAAGAAATATATTATTAATATAGTATATTAGTATATCCCAATAATAGTATATTAATGTATCCCATGTTTAAATTTTTCTTCATTGCGTGTTGCTTCGCTTTGAATTTTCGTTGATGTTAAGACTAATGAAAATTTTTATAATAATAATCGTGGCTGTTGTATCATTAAAAATTATTTCTTTATTTTGTACAAACAAAATAAATATATTGAAAAATATAAAAACAAAAAAAGTTATACTTTAGAAGTTAATCTAGTATCAAAAACATTTAATTCAGCACGACACAGTCAGACTGGAACACTTTTGGTTAACCATCATTTCAGTTGATCGGCATTCGGATAATCAATGCTCTACTGTATTTATTTCAGAATAATATAAAAACTATATTTTGTATTATTTTTAATTTTAAAATGAATATGTAAATGAAATTAAATTTTTTGCAACACATTTTACAGATAATTGCTTAAATGGAGGTACATGTATTGATGGAATTAACAGTTTTGTATGTAAGTGTCCAAGAGGATTTACTGGAAAAATATGTGATATTAATTATTATGACTGTGCATCTAATCCTTGCCAAAATGGAGGAACATGTTTTGATCAAGCTGATGTAATATATAAATACAATCTTAAAACATAAATTTTAATTTATTTAATATTATTCATTCAATATAATTTATATTCAACAAAAATGTATTATTTTTCAATAGGGTTTTAGGTGTTGCTGTCCTAAAGAATATAATGGAAAATATTGTGAATATAAAATAAATCATTGTGATTCAGTGCAATGTCTTAATGGTGGAAATTGTATTGAAAAAGTAAATGAATTTGAATGCAACTGTACAAGTGGTTTTAGTGGAAAATATTGCGAAATCAATGATGATGATTGTAATGATCAGCCTTGTTTAAATGGGGGAATATGTATTGATGAAATTTTAAATTATACTTGTATGTGTCCAGCTATGTTTCAAGGGCAGAATTGTGAAAATAAAAAGGGTAAATATTGTGATTTATATTTTGAAATTATGGTAAATATCTTTGTTTACAGATATAAAAAATCTAACCTAAAATGATTTTTCATGTTATTTTCACAGTGACTTAAAGTTTTAAACTAGAAAATTATTTGTGATTGCTTCTTTAAAATATGAAAGATTTTAACTATAAGAGTATAACTATTATTTACAAATAGGGCCTATTTATAGATTTTAAGTGTTACAAAATGTGTAGGATTATAGTATTTATTAAAAATAGAAAAAAACTATATAGAAACAATTTTTCTAAATATAATTAGTGATATAATTTTTATTATTCTATTTCATAGTTAAAATTTGTATTTTATACAAAATATATAAATAATAAATAAATTTTAGCATATTTAATGAATTTATTTTAAGTTTCATAAATAAAGGGTGTGCCAGAAACACCTGACATGTTTTTAAAAATAAAATACCAGTTTAGGCAAAAGCATAAATATTTATTGCTTTGCACAGATATATTTTTTTGTTAATGGAAAATGAATGTGTATCACTTAGTTATGTGCCGGATCATTAAAAATGTATATCCGTGGATACAGATACAGATACGGATCATTAGTGTCTAGATCCGCGGATACGAATACGGATATGGATCTCAACTTTCGTACTCAGTTGGCGCCGGTGCTTGTGACCTTGGACCGACGGTTGACACTTTGCGTTAGTAACGCGACGTGTTTTGACTTGCACTGCGCGTGTTTTTGTTTATAGTTTAGTATGACACAGGATAGCATAGATTANAAATAAATATGACTATTGAATTTTTTGTTAAATTATGTTGATTTGAAAGAATATACAAGCATTTATTTTCCTCTGGTATAAAATATTAATTGAATAAGCAAAAAGGAAACTAAACAAAAATCATGCATTTCCTACTTTTGATTTTTGATTAATTAAAATATTTCCATGTAATGTTAAAATTATTTTTCAAAGAATGAATGATTTATTTTGTTGTTTTTTATGAAATAATAAAACATTCAGATCATTACTATATTTTTCTTTAGTTTGTTTCTAATACAATTGCTATTTTATAGGGATAAAGATTGGCATCATTGTGCTATTACATGGGATAGTCAAACAGGTGATTGGTTTCTTTATTGGGATGATATGATTAAATTAAAAGGATCAGGAATGGCCATTGGTAGGCCATTTTGGAGTGGATATTTTGTACTTGGACAAGAACAAGATAGTATTGGTGGAGCATTTAGTGCTGTAGAATCATTTTTGGGAGAGATAACTCAAGTAAGTATAATTATTATTAAAACTATTGTTATTAAAAAAAGATATTCTTCATCCAATCAGAAGCAAACATTTTATCATTCAATTACTATCAGATAAATCCTTTTACTGCAGAAACTATATTTTAAAAGTTCCAATCTTCCAAAAATGGGGAAGGTAATTAAAAAAGAAACACACTAATCTTATGTTATTTCCTAGCAGGATGAAAAATTAACACAAACGTGAGAAAATTAAGATAAAACAAATGCTTTCAATCCTAAAACCTGCTTTTTGCAGGTCTTAGAAGTAAATGTAAAGGGTTTGTTTATTTTTAACTACTTATTATGCATTAGGGAGAAGTGTTGGCTGTCTGAATTTAAGAATTGTTTTTTGTGTTGTAAATATTAGTATACTGTTATATAAAAATTGTAACCTACAAACTGATATGTCAGTTTGTAAATTATTAAACCAATGTATAGTAATGATTAAAGACTGTTTAATAGCAACATATAAAAAAAATCAGTTAAAAAGTCTTCAGAAATCAACAATGCTACATTTGTAAAAATGACAGGAACAGATGCTAGTCAGAAGCATTGTGACCACCCTTTAAAGAACAAGATAAAAAGAAAATTATGACATTTTGACCTCCTACTGTGTTCAATCTTGTCAGGAGTGAAAAGACTCCACTAAAGGACCAAAATAGTGGTGTATACAGAAGATTGATAAACTTTGACAGGCAGATATGCTGCTGAATTACTGTGACTGTATGCCATATTTTGTATATATTTTTATTTTAATTTAATATAAATTCCTTTTTTTCTTTTTTGTTCTTTTTGTCTTTCATCTTTCTAGAATGTTCCTTCTTAACTCTTTCCCCTTGGGTGCTGGTGACTCATATACAGAACAATAGAAATAGAAGAAGCCTTTAGGGCTAAGCTGAGGAGAACAAGGTGCATTTTGGCTGGACATCCAAGCAAGAGGAGGTGAACAAGTAGCTCTCCAGTTCATGTATTGGCAACAACTGGAGGCTACAAGAAGCTCTCAGGAGTCTGAGTTCAGGTATAGTGAAGAGAGAAAATCAAGACTAACAGATAATACCAAAGAGATCCTTTGCAGAAAGGACAAGATATATATCATTTCTTTTGTGTAAGAAACTGGGATCAAGAGTGTCACCACACCTGGGACTATGCCAAAGCCACAGGTGCCCACTTTCCTATGAACTTCTTTTTTATTCATTTCTATTTCTATGTCTATCTTTCTCATTTTTATTTAGTGTTTAATTAGATTAAGGCTTTAGAATTAATTTTTTTTGTGTGTGTATGTCCTGGAGGCATCAATTGATATTGATTGTTGTGAACCTAATATTGTTTGTGGTTCCCCCTATTGTTTAATCAAGACTTTGTTGGTACCAAAAATCCATACAAATTTCTTAAATCTGTGGACTGAAAAAAGACTTGGAATCCAAAGAACCATGTTCATCACAAAATAAAGATATTGTTTCTTGTATGTATGTATATATATATATATATATATATATATTTGTGTGCTCCTTTTGCAATGAACATCACATTACCCAATAGGCACACTAGGTGTACACCTAGAGCCTTTCATCTCAAGGGACCTTAAAAATTACATAGCACAAAGATAATATGCTTCTAAAAATTAAGCTAACATTTAAAAAGTGTATATTTCTCACCCCAGTAAGAACAGCAATATAACTCATAAATTGATGATTTTATTGTCTTTTTAATATAAAAAAATCACTTTTACCGAATGGCCTTGTTGGAATCAACAATTGAAGTTTTTGATAAATATAATATTGATGTGTATGTCACATTGTGTCATGACAATTTTCGTAAAGTTTTCCATTGTGTAATAAAAGTTGGTGCTTTTAATGCCTTGAGGAACTGTTGGTCATAGTGACCTCATTGTACTCTCCCCTTTCTAGTGCTGACCTTCTGTAAATCAAGTCTGTGTAACTTTATTCTTTTGTCATGCAACCAGTTATATGAGTATAACCAGTTTTTCACAATCTCTAACAAGCATACCAAGTCTAACTGGCTTTACAACAAAATTGCACATAGGCCCTCAAAGAAACAGAATCTTCTACTGGGCAGATAACAAAGTGCTATGTAGGAAATACTTATAGAAAGTTTTCACATAGTCTGATAGGACATAGGGGCAGTTTGAAAATGTAAATGCAGACATAACACTGGCAGAATAACTGTTAGCTTACAAAAAAGCAGTGGCTTATTGGTAAAATGCAGAGATAGTTTTACTTAATCAAGAAATGTCCCCCTTCAAACCATTTGTTATACCACTACAAACAACATTCTCATTTAAAATATGGAAGACAAATGGTTAGGTCATGTATTTGCGGTTAAAATGGCTCTCAATTACAGGAGACCTAGGTTTAATTAATATGTTTCTTCTTTATCTCACTAGGTACTAATGAATACAACATAGATACTATACTATAATAATTTTTTCATATATTTTTAATAGTGCACAATGTAAATACCTAATGGCCAAACTTGCAAAAACGTTGTGAATATTTTGTATTTAAATTACTTAGCAATTCTGTTCTATTTTAGTTCAAACCACGAAATGACATATCTTAATTAGAAGTTTAGGTTTTGGATCAGATGATATGTTATTAGTGTGAAAAAACATTTAATGTGCAATATAAACAGATTTATTAAAACAGATAACATATTATATTAAAAAAAAACATATAAGCTATTCATAAGTTAAGTAAGAATCATTATAATCATCATTCTCAAAACTCCTATTCAGTTTGAGTTTCTACCCTGTGACTGAGTTTTAGTTGATCTTATTGGTCTTTTGCCTGTTACTAATAGGTCAAAATTAATTTTACTTAAAATAAATGATGTTTGTTTCCCATTGAAACTTTTACTATATAAACTGTAATTCTGATGATGATTTTTTTAAATTTATCTATAGTTCAATGTTTGGGATCATGTGCTGTCTTATAGTGAAATTAAAGAAATAAAAGGATCTTGTGGTTTTTTGGGAAACATCATTTCCTGGAATGACTGTAAATATAATATTCATGGAAAAGTTTCTTTTATTCAGGATTCTGATATTTGTACAAGTAAGTTAATTGAAAGTATTTTTATTTTTTAACATTGCACAGAATACACCATAATTAACTATTAATATATAAATATATAATTTGCTTAATGAATGTTTATTCTAATTCAGTGTTTCTCAATCTCTAGTGAATCATCGCCCCTTCAACATAGTATTGCCCCCTTCAATAAAACCGTTATGTAGTATCACCCCCTTCACTACAAAAGTCCGATGCCGAGGGACAAGGCTAATGCCAAATTCGTACTGTATTGAATAAACTAGTGACTAGTATAATGTTATTTGTTTAATTATTGTACGATATAACAAATAAAATATCTAATTATTCTTAATATAATGNTTTAGATATATCAACTAATTTTGGATTGCAGTTTACATCAGAAATAACAACTAACTATGTAAAAATATATAATCAAAAGCCATTGTATGCAATTACTGTTTCATTCTGGATGAGATCTTTATTTAGCCAAGAGAACAACAGGGGCACACCTATCTCCTACAGCTACAAAGATTTGAATACAAAGATGGAAGTTGAAAATGCTCTCACCTTGATTGATGTCCATAAATTTCTGTTTTATTTACATGGAGAAAAATTTTATACAGATATTGATGCAACTAAGTAAATTTATAATCTTTTCTTTTTATTATCTTTTAATAATAATAATAACTTATTATTATTGATCAGTTATTGATCTATTCAGTTCATACTGGTAAATAACACTATGCCAGATCATGATCAAGGTATATCTACTGAAAAAGCTATTATGTTTATCTGCTGTTAGTGCTTGTATCTGTATTTTAAGAATTTTTTGACTATATGACAAGTATTTAGTATGTCTGCTTTCTGTAATGTAATGTATGTGTTATTGTTAAGACAAAGTTTCAAAACATTTGCATAATGCACAAAAGGATTATAGGCACAATAAGTACCTTATCCATTTTATACAACACTATTTTATGCATAAGTTCTGAATATTCAATAACTTTTTCAGTGTACATGTAGTGTATATTTTTGTTTGTTGTGGGTATTTTGAATGGATATATGTACGTAATTTTGTTTTGTTTGATAATAATGCCAACTCTAGGGCAGATACCCCAGCAATTATCCAAAATGCAGTCATCTGCTGGATAATTACAAAGTATCATGATGCATACAAAAAATGCAAGATTACTTATTACTTATTACCCAAAAAACGTCTTGCTGTTGTGACAGACCATGTGGAAACTTCCTTGGGAAAAATCGCACTTTGATTACCTTTCCTCAGTCCTGAGATAGTTTCTCTAAATTTCTAGTCCAAGTCATCATTCTTCTGTTTGAGCCAAAACTCAGGTTGAGATGCTGATTTCACCACTGTAATGCCCAGTCCAAGAATTTCAGTAGTCTCTCTCCTTTCAAATTGGCTTCACCCATCTCTTAGATATTTGACAACTTTCCTATTCTCCTGTCCATATTCACTCCATGAAGAGCAGCCAAAAAGTGATTTCTATCCATATGTGCTCTCAGGAATACATTCATTGTTTGATGATTCCAAGAAATGGTCCTCACCTCCAATGAGAAAGAGTAATTAAAATGATTGGAAGACTCTAGAAGGTGGAAAGAACAAATAACAAAGAAAATATGCTAAAGACTACTAACTAAACTTAAAATATAAAATGGCATACAGCCACACCATTTTGGGATATACAGTGGTGCCTCATACTTTAAATTTAATTGATTCCAGGAAGCCATTTGAACTTTGAGTCATTTGAAATCAGAATCAATTTTTCCTATTAGAAATAATGGAAATTGAATTAATCTATTTCTGGATCCTGAACAATACCTATTTTGATAAACTTAAAACAGCAAATTTTCATAATTTGAGGTGAAAATAACACAATTAAAAACCCTAATAAAAAACTAAAACATGAATAAAATGTGTAAATACTGTACAATAAAATGAAAATTGCACTTTCTGGGCATATATTTGCAACTTTGGCATCTTAAACATGGCCACTAGATCTGCCACACATTGACCACTTTCATGCTTTGCAATAACTTCCTTTTTTATCTCCATCATCAATATTACATTCTTTTTCTTAGACATCATCACTTACACCCACTTCTCAGATGCCATGGTTAATTAGTAAAAATTACATTGGATTGAACAGAAAGATTTTGTGTATTTTTAACAGCTATCATTTCTTAACATAGATGTGGATTTAATTATAACAGTTGTGAAATTTAACTCAGTATTCTTTGTTTAAAAGCTTATTTTAAACTTTTTATTTCACAGTTTGTTTGAATAAAAAATCAAGTTGAAATGTCTTTGGATAAAAAGCAAATCAGACATATTATGCTTTATGAGTTTTGGGAAGGATAAAATGTCATACAAACAGTAAAAAAAAAAAATTGTAATGTTTGTAGGGAAGATGCACCTAAACTTCAAACATATCAAATGTGGTTTAAAAGTTCCATTCAGGAATTTTTAAACTAAATGATACAAAAACTTGTTGGGAGAAATTATTAGAAATTGATGAATAACACAATATATATAATATGCCAAAAATAAAACAAAAAAGCACTAAAAACATATGAACATAACATGAGAGTGAGGGACGACTCTGGTGCTCAACCTACCTAAAGCACAACAGATTGCATTTACACTTCAAATGTGTTATTTTCAGTGCCCACACAGTTCAAACTCCAAGGCAAATTTTTATCAAATTTAACATTCAAACTTTGAAGTATTCAAAGTTACAGTCGTTTGAAGTATGAAGTATCACTGTATTGTATAGTTTCAGATATGATATCATATTTCCTACAAATGCATCAGGTCTTTTAAAATTGTTTTCTCTAATTTTTACCTGAGCCAGCCAGAAGTTTAATACAGTTTTGTCAAAGCTTGTCAGGCTAAGATCATCAGGATGTCTACTCAGGAGCTTGTTTTGAGCCCAAGGCTACTTGAATGTGGCTGTCTTTAATATATTGTTATATATCTATGTCAATATACTATATTTTTAATAGTGTTTTTGTTTGCCAGAGTTACAACTTTTTATGGTTGTGATATTTTTTGTTTTTTATAGTAATATTCTTGCAGTTGCAGTCTGTATTTGCATGTTGTAAAAATATATTATCTTTGAAATCTTATTTTCTCTTTTTATATAGATTTAGGATGGTGTTGTTATGCTTTGATAATGTTGTTTGTGTTTTTCTTTGGTCATGAGTACACACACACACACACACACACACACACACACACACACACACACATTACTAAAACAATTTCAATATATAACTCCAATTGAATATGAGTACAAGGAAATATTTATTGCTTTAAACATGTCTGTTATGCATTTTGCATTCAGTTAGTCTCTTTTAGTTTGTTCTGTAAGCATGTCCTGTTGCAGTCTTAAACATATACAGACCACACTCTCATATATGGATTCAATGATGTCTTCATTTCTACATGAAAAGTCTTTCTTTTTCAAGACTTTTTTATTTAAAATGTTTTCCTTGTTATTCTTTGAATCTATTTCACCTATTGGTGTGATGTTTTCCAGCCTTGACATCAGTAGTTGTATTTCCATTTAAGCACTTTTGAAATGTTATATATTATATATTGTGTATGAGTACAAGTATACCTCACCTTACGTTGGTAATTGGTTCCAGAAAAGCGATGTAAGTCGAAAAACGATATAAGTCGAATTTACTTGTCTCTGAATCTACTTGTCACTAGGCTAAACAATAAATTACCATTTCCGGTTCTGTATTTTATTTATTAATGCATTTTTAATAATATATGGTTAATAAGGATCTATTTTAAGCTTACAAACAAATAAATTTTAGTTTTTAATATAGTACAGAAAAAAGTAATCTAAATTTACAAATGCATGTACTGTACTGTAAATACAGTACATACTTGTAAATGTATATATTTTAATATGATTTTATGTGCTTTAAATGCTTTTCTAGTGATATTACGACTTCAATATTTGTGGCAGACAGGCGTAAAGTCGAATAAAATGACTTAAACTTGATTTTTATTTTTCCATATACTTTGTAAGTCGAAACAACGTAAGTCAAGGTATACCTGTATAACAGTAATTATGATGCAGTAGCCACACTTAGCCACTGCTGCATTTACCACTGGTGACCTAGGAAGACCAGCAGATTTTTCAAATGTGGACTTTGTTTATCCATTTGATGTCCAAGTCAGTAACATGCTGAGAATGTGACACAATCATTTTTGTATTTTCCACAGGAATGAGTATGCTTATGTACCTAAAGCTAGATGTTTATAAATCATTTGCCCACAATATGCAGAACAGATATTGTTTAGCACCCATCCATTCTGTTCAAATAATGCTTATGTTTATTCTTTGCTTCATTTCTTTCTACAGATCTTTCTGGCATGGTAACTCTACTGGACATTTGTGAGAAGCCAGGGGAATTGGTGGGTACTGGTTTAAACCCCCCTTTTATTGGCAACAGTCTCATGTTGTTACTGGATGGTTGATCCAAGCGACAGAGGGGTGATACGTCCATTGATAGGGTGTTGGTGCCTAATAAGTCCACACGAGAGCAGGTTAAACAACAAAAATAACAATTTAATGACTAACATAAAGTATACAATATTACAGACCGCTACATGCAACACAACGTCCAATATTATGTTTATGGACTAAAATAAAGCCTTATATTTACTTCCTTATAGGCTAATTGATCGAGTGAGAGAATTTACAAACATTCTAACATAATACCTCTGAGAGAGAGTGAGGATGTCTTCTACATCTGTTGAGGCGTATTTGTCAGGATCCTTTATGGAGCTGGGAACATGGAGAACCAGCCATCATCAGCTATGGCCTTCCTGGTATGTCCACTCTGAGACTCGAGTTTGAGCCCCTTTTATACATGTTGAGCATGGGAGAGAAGTCGGGTTACTTTGATTTAATGTGGTCTAAGTTTGAGGTGTGTCATTGCATTAGCTGGAATGGTCTGACACTTTTTATCATTTAAGGCAACAAATTTGAAGTTCTTAGATGTCACCATCAATGTGTCGGGACTCTTCTTACCTCATAATTTTATCCGTTTGACAGTTTCCCATCATTAATAACTGGATGTTTGGCCAAGTTTCTCTGATAAGTCCAAACATTGTGACAATTGTTGATTTATAAGATTATTCAATTGCCTGTTTATTTCTCATATCCATATGTGATGGAAATATGAGGGGGTGGGGGAAACTGGGGTTTTTCTGCTTTCTAAATTAATCTTGTATTAATTTTAATTAACTCTGGACTCACACACATTTATGCTCTACTAGCATTACTCTGTGGTTTATTGAGACTACTGAGCTCTCCTACGTTGATAAAATGATGACAAATAAGTTGTTATTTATTTATTTATAATAATTGAAGTTTTAAAGTATATATAAACAATTCATTACTTCTTTTTTGTTTTACATTATTAAAAATATTTTATTAAGAGTTATTTTAATTACTGAATGCTTTAGCAACCAAAAATGTCTGTTAAATACATAGGGTGTGTTTACTTCTGAGCTAATAGTGCTACTTCCGAACACCGGAAGTGACGTCATTAGCATGTGTATTCGTGCTTACATGTCCAGTTCGAAAGTAAACGCA